GTAGGAAAAGTAATAAAAATCATATTCCATCTTCACTTATAAATTTTCAGATTTCATCCAAGAGAACTATCTGGCCTGAAAAAAACACCCAGAAGGTAAACATCTAAAAACTTGGACTTGAAAAAAAAAAAGTTAAAAAAATTTTTATTTTAAAAGATAATCCGGACACTCACTCACTGCCATCGCCAAGATAATCGCCAACAATAGTTTTGTCCAGTCGATCTTCACTGTGAAAAAATGCAGCTATATCTTCCGGTTCCATCCCAACAAGTTGTCTTTCTTGAAGGAATTTTAAGCCTTCATTGGGTTTGCGGGCAAACCTGAAGCAAACAGTGCCCAAAACAAGTAAATTTCTTCGCTTAAAATGATTCGCTGCTCATTCCCCGTCGCACCTGCATCCACGAACCTTTCTTAACATCCTCATCCACTCACCTCCTTCACTAGAAAAAAGTCAAGAAAAATATTCTACGGCTATCACTTACAAGCTTTACAAAGTTTTAACTTGAATTTTTTTAAGGCTGGCCGAAGGTACACCGTTTTTTGAAGAAAGTCAAAACCCTCTCTGCAATCACTCCGTAAGAGGCAGAAACACTCGGAAATAGCTGGAGAAGTTTTGGCTCGTTAGTAAGCCCAGTACTTGCGAAAAAAAAAAAAGAAATGCAGACTGGGAGGACTAACAGATGGATTCCGTGCTCTATAGTTTCTTTCCTTTGTTTCAGCTGCTCGAACTGATGCACTGCTGATGATTGCGGCACTGTAGCTGCCTCGGTTGACGCTGCCTCAACACATTCAACGTCTAAAAACGTAACTTAATTCACCCAATAAAAGTAAATTTACCCAATTTACCCAACAAAAAGTAACTTTTACCCAACAAAACAAAACTTTCATCCAACAAAACGTCTGGTTCTGAAACATATCTATTCGCCTATCAAAACTCTTTGCCTTCCCTCGACTCTAACTTACACTTACCATCAAACTTCAGACTGTCCAGATCGCACTGATGAAACCTAATCTCCTTTCCTATGTAATTCCCTTCTTTCCTTCTTCCATTTCTCGTTCATTTGCACCACTTTTCACTTATGCGCTTCAATTCATTTGAAGCTATTCGCATACAGAAAAAAGCACAAACCCTCGGGAACTGACCGCCCGGAACAAATATCATCGAACCAATCGACCATACACTGCAAACATTCCACGAGGCACTTTAAACCCAAAATTCGAACAGACCGCTCACGTTGCTTTTGCAGCACAGCCGCCGAGCTTCCATAATCGGACACTGAACCTCCCTGGAAACATCCACAAAATCTTAGTATATATATATACAAAACTCATGCGATATTACACTCTCGCAGAAAAATAACATACCTGGAAAGAGCCCCGGTGGTACTATATAACAAAATCGAGTAGCTTGCGAGGTCATAGCTTCGTGCTCCTCTTACTTGGATGGTTGTTTCGAAGCAAGCTGATAAATTCCTGGATTACGCCGGCAGCAATTTTCGGCCGAAATCAATGAAGTAGGGGATTTAGTTGCTACGCTGATGGAGTCGAACTTCTAATCTTTATCACGAGAGCAGCGGCACTTACTAATGCATCAAAGCCGTCACTATAGAGAAGTGAGAGACCCCTTTTCTCTGGAGAAATTCTTGACACTTTATAATCACAAATGTTTGTCTGTGACGTAGGTGTTGCAAGCTATAACCTCTGAATTTATCATGCCAGCACCAACAAAACTCATCAAACTCCATCGATCTAGGATCAAGGCTCCCATAACAACACACAGAGATAAATTTTGAGCCAAAATTAGAGTTCTACGTGCACAACCTGAGCAACTTTAAATAAGCCATCGATGATTCGCTCGAAGATATTTGTTGCAGTGAGATCGCAATCATAATTTACATAGATATCCACCATACTTTGCGGATCCTCGCAGATCTTCTCCAGCGTATTAATAACAATCCATTTGTGCTCAAATGAGCTCGAACTGCTTTCCAGTATTGAAAAGATAATTTCTTTGAAGAAAACCTTAAAAAAATAGCCGAATTTTTAGGAGAAATAGAAATTCAATACAACGATTGCTGCTTTTCGTCAACAACAACAAAAACAACTCATAAACAGTAAGGTACCTTACGGTGATCTAGAATATAATAAACACCGGGAAAGCTTTGGTATTCCACGCAACAAAATCAGTAAGAAAATAACATTCCTAAGCTTCAAAATAGGCCGGAAACGGAAGCGACCTACTGGCATGCGTCAGCACCAAATCACCGTCGAAACGAAAAAAAACTATGAAAAAAAAAAAGAAAATAAACCAACTTCACCTCAATTTGCACTTTTAAGTGCATTTTGAATTTGTTGACAAGTTGCACAAATATTGCCAGTGATTTCTCGAAAACGGAAACAATTGGTGAGACGCCATTGCGCGAAAGTGAGACGCATAATAAGTGTCGTAGTGCGAGGATGAACGGCTGCGAGGAATGGATTAGTGATGAGGAATTCTGCACAATCAGTAACAACATTTCCAAGGAAAGCTCTTTCGAACGCAGTTCATGACTACTGAAATTATGCCTTTTTTTTTTGCAAAATTTTCAAATCTTGAACGATACAGCTGCATCCCATGTGTAGAAAATCCTAGTAAGGCCATTAACATACAATACTTCCATTAAAAGTAATGAAAGCAATGAATTAAAAAAATAGTGAATTAAAGTTAAAGAAAATTAAAAGTAATGAAATAGAGGAAAAATTAAAGTCAAAGTTGAGGAAAACATGAGTCAAAGTTGTTTTTCATGAGAAAAACAATCCCGCTTGTCAGGGACTGGAAAATAACAGTCCGCTTATAAAGTTTCTGGACGATGTGCAGTAGGTGATCAGCCAGCTGCAGCACATCTTCCGGGAATTCGTATGGCAGATAACGCTGCAGCAGTAGGGGCATATCCTTAAAAAAAGAGCTAGGCTGACTATGCAGTGAAAAATAAAGCTTACTGCCGAATTATACTCATGAGTTTCCAAACCAGTACTAGGCAGGCATACAAATAAGATGGAAGGATCCATCTGAACAATTATATAAAGTTATTTGGATGCTCCAAATCTAAAGAAGCGCAAAATGGAGAAGCTGACAAATGCACTAATTGTTTAAAAGAGCAGCACAATGATAAA